CCCCAAAACCCCAAAACCCCAAAACCCCGTGATACTTGTTAGCAATAATGAAAAATACAATAATATTATTTAAATTCAAAAATTAATCCATAAAATAAAAATCCACTTTCTTTTTATTATATCAATCATCGTCTATCATCATAATTATATATTCCTTATTAATGTTCGCATTAATAGCTGAAAGGGAGTTCTTCTTATTAGTACTTAGGAATTAGTGTTAATGGGCAGTGCTTCCAGCAGCACCCTGGGTATTCATCATGGCTTCTGACTTTTTATGACTCAAATATCCACTCATTTCATATTTGCTATTATGAGAAGGTGACAGTATCTAGCTGGCAGTATTTTCATCACCAATCGGATTCATAAAAATATCAGTATCCTCCATCTCACTCGTCAAATGCTTTTTTATGATAAAGAGTGCTGTATCGTATACTTCCTAATACGGTGAGAATTGCAATCTTTCAAGAGATCTTAAAGTTTTTTAATCATGTATCAGACTCCTTAGGGATTTTATAACCTTCTCAGATTCCAATTCTATCATCTTAAGCAGTGACTTCAGACCTGTAAGCTGTACTTAGTGATCGCTAAAATTTAAAGTGAAGGAGATGTTATCTATTATTTGATGATACACTTCATCATATTCAAATAGATATTTGTTAGCATCCTTAATGTCTAAGATATTGTCAAGCAAGACTTGAGCTTCTCTGATAACTTTTAGCGACTAAGTCTGAAGGCCATGATTCAAACTAACTACTATTAGATTCTGATAATTCTGGATAATTAAGGACTGACACTTCTCATCATCTGCTACAATATTGGACAGTGTCCAAAGTAATATCTACAGATATTGATTATTCAACTGATTTTAAGTATTGAACTAGTTCATGAAAACATTAACAAAGGCATCATAGATCTAGCCATCTATTACCAAATGATACTCTTTAAAGTACTCTGAAGAAGATAAATACCCCAATATCAAAAGAGAGTTATAAGCGATTTGATAGGTCTCTAGATTTTAGGAAAGAGCAACTAGCTTGACCACAGTATCTTTTCTTTTTTGATACTTTTAAATAATATGACTTGCATATTCATTGTTTTATACAGCTATCTTTAATGATATCAAACTACTTTCTATAATGGGTTCATTGCATCTAATCTAAAATATCCTGAGAGTAGAAATGACTATCCATCTAAATTACTTTTTGCTTAATATACTATAAGAATGCATATAGGATTCCAAAAGCAGCTGAATTTGTAATAGCAGTTCTTCATATTTCAAAACACTATTACCAACCGTAAGTAGCTCATCAATTCTTTGTAGCATGATATCTATTTTATCAGTAACATCTAATCTTAACTAGCCTTTGACCTACTCAACATCTAATAAGTCTCTCTTGCTCTTGTCCTAATCAGCTATGGAATTGCAAAGAAGTTATAAGCATAGCTCACATCTCTGGACATTCTCTAATTCCTCATCAATCATTCCCAAAACAGCTTCAAATAAACCGAATTCAATCAATTCCCGCAACTTTTTGCTATCCTTGAGACTGCTCAAATTAACTAAAGCCCATAGTATTTCTATTTAGAGTTCTTAAGTTTAGGGCATCATCAGTAGATATACCAGTCTTTTTCCTAGATATTCAAAGTTTTAAAGTACTTCCTTAATAGTGTATTCATTTCCTGTTGAGACAATTTTCCTAAGAGCTTTGCAACCGAAGAACAATCTGAGCATGTCAGTGTTGTTATTGATAGCCTCTATTATAAGTGGGAGGTCCTTTAAGGAGAGTTTCATGTAAGTGGCAGCAATTTGACTCTTTGAAGTGGCTTCAGTTATGACAAAGTTCTTGTCAAAGGTAGAGACAGTCTCCATGTAGGTCTAATATTAGTTAGATGTATTGTTGAGTTCCCCTGACTCTTGATTTAATTTATTAGAAAAAGGTGATCTTTCAAGATTTCGACTCTGATTAAAAATTTATTAGGTGTCTCCTTTACTCTTTTGAGGGTGAGGTGATTTTTTAACAGATTAATTGTTTTATCTATCGATTTCATCTAAGATTTCCTTGAATGCCTAGAATTAAAAAGTCTGATCTAGACTTTGCTTTGATTACACAAAGTTTTCCATTAAACTCAAATATTGCAATTTAAAATTTAAAGCTCAATACCTCTGCGATTGTAAATTTTATATCTTTTGGGGGTTTTGGGGTTTTGGGG